AAGAAGTCCTTAGGGCGAAAGGCCGGGAGATCAAGATTCTCAGGCTAGTAATTTAGTGTTCCATATTTCAACAACTCCTTCAGCAATTTTTCCAAAAGTTGTTTTGAAATTATTTTCTATAAAGTTGCGTTATAACTTGCTAAAGTATGTAAGACAGTGCACAGTGAGCTGATGAACTGGAATACGGATTAATTAGATCAGGTAATCAATTAAAATACCGACCAATAAGTTCAGGTATTAAACTGCAATGAGATCGCCATTAATATGACCCAATGAATTCTAATACTGTTAAAAAATCAGTTAATAAACTGAAATACTGACCAATACGTTCAGGCAATAAACTGGAATACAGACCAATAACATCAACCCGTTGAATTGAATACTGCCGACTATGTTGAGTCGATGAACTAAAATACCAACCACCGAGATGAGAAATGCGTTACCGAATAAAACAGGATCTGATAATATGAGATGGTAACCTATTCTTCTGTTATTTAAAACTTTTTAAAGTCCGACCTACATCCATTTGTTGTATTAGCTGTCTGGAATTGAAGATTTCAGTTTCCAACTATTTTTAACTCGTTACACCCTCATTAGGCTCAAATATGTTTTTGCAGTTTGGGGAACTTAATAAGCGTCCACACTGCTTTATAACTATAACACAAAACGTAACACAGGGGAGTGCTACGTCCGAACTCCATTCTTAATTGTATTATTGGAGATGATTTACCTCAACACAATTAAGTATTATGTGTCAACACGTTACGTACCTTATGGTACGTTGACCCACATATCAGCCTGCTGTTGTTTTACTGTTGGATTTGTTTCCATAGCCTTTGTCAAACCAAGAACAAACTACAAGGCAGCAGTTGTTTAATTCTGGAGTTTTCTCTTCTAGATAGATTGCTGTTCCCAGCTAGCGAGCTTCACCTGCCCTGGGTTTAAACTCGGGACATTTGGAGTTGGCAATTATGTGCACTCCCTCACAACCACGTCGTGTCCCCCCCCCCACCAGAGGCGTAGCGATTGGGGGGGGGGCAGGGGGGTACATATGTCCCCAGGCGCCGACCTTAGGGGGCGCCAAAATGGGATGTAAAAACAAATTAAAATGTTATTTTAGCTGCATTTTTGCATTATAAATAGTTTGAGGGGGGGGGGGGGGGGGTGCAAACAGAAAGTTTCAGGGGGGGGGGGGGGGGCAAATTGAAAATTTTCTCCCGAGGTGGGGGGGGGGGGCGCCAAATTGAAAGTTTGTCCCCGGGCGCCGGGAAGGGTCGCTACGCCTCTGCCCCCCCACACATAATCCAAGAGGGTTTCACCTCACTTCCTGCCTGGTGATATTGGTTGGGGGTCTGCGCTGTGTGTCCCCTATCCAACCCCATCTTCTTTGTCTAATTTCTTCTTCAGTAGCAAGTTGTCCTGTTGTTTACCATAGTCGGACGACGCTGATAATGTCGGGCCAGTGGATCCTGAGTGTTCCTCTGAGGCAGCTGTTTATAAATGTAGGGCTCTATCAATGGTCGTCTTGGTTGTCCTCCAACTCTCTGCCACATACAGCAGAACTGATTTTACGTTACAGTTAAACAGGACCGCCACCTCCACGGCCAAACCGATTTAGCAGTATTAAAAAGAAACTACAAAAACATGTAAGTTTTACATACGTTTCAAAATTATCACCTCCGAAAAGTGCTCCGGACTATTTTAACATCATTTGCATAGTTTATTTATAGTCTTATTATTAAATTTTAAAGAACACCACTTAAAAATCTATCTAATCCCAAATCTAATATCTTTTAATAATTTATTAACATTATTAATTCTCATATTCTTTTTGCGCAGACTATTTTAAAACATCCAACTAAACCCATATCTAATCTTTTAATAATTTTATAATTTATTAACGTTATTAATTCTCATTTTCTTTTGCAGACCCATGCTATTCCACCCCCCCCCCCCCCCTTTTCTTATGATGGATACGCAGCCCAATGACGCGCATGCTTACATTATTTTGATTTAGTACAGAAAGGATTTTTTACGACGTAAAGCATCACTCCACAAAAAATATCTATCCTTCAATTCATTTTTCCATTCTGCTATTCATTCGTCCTTCCATTCGGCCATTCATTCACCCACCCATCCATTTATTCACACCCCCACCCCCCTATATTGATCACCCCTGCATCTCCGTGTCTCGATATTAAAATAATATGGATTTATATGCGCGCAAGCATAAAATCTCACTTTTTTATTTCACGCGCGTATTAGAATTCTAAATTTTTTTTTCTCCAAGCGCCCCACGTTGTTATAAAATTATTATTTTTTATAGCTAAATCAAAGAATTATTTGTATAAAAATGCATATTTACTTGTTTGCGTATTCTAATTGTGCATGATTATTTTCTCTTTTTGCATATTTCTGATGTGCGTTGTATAAACACAAGGGCGGTAATAAGCAATAGGATTTAAAAAAAAAGGAAATAGATTTTTTAATATTGCTTACTAATGACTCCAATACAGATCCCAATGGGTTAATATAACCACCGTACATAAACAATATAGGCATATTGAGCTTGTTGATATAACAAAAGAAAGAAAAAACAGCCACTTCATCTGGAGATAGATTTTCAAATTCGTGAATGGTTTTTTTATGTTTTAGCGTTACATTATTTCCATCACACATTTCTGATAAAAAAAAAGAATAAAAAAAATATAGCAAGAATGGGAAAAAGAATTTTTAAAAATCTGCGAAGTTCCCAGTTGTATGCTTATGCTTTTTTATTTAAGAAAAATGGAACTGTTCATTGAAGGCGAAATAAAAATAAAACGTCCTTAAATAATGGACTCCGAAATGTTTTGGACAAATAAATAAGCATAAACAGATAACATTGAAGAGTAACCTGCACAAACAGACGCAACAACCGACCTTTAGACTCCAGGTCTACTTCAGGTCGAACATTAAAAATAGTACAAAAATTGTTTGTTTTTGTCTTGTTTTTGTTTTCCAAGATACAGAGACAGGTGTTGAGGTAAATACGAGGCGTGGCTTAAGCCGGAAATACGTGTATTGTAGGTGTGTGGTAACATAATTTTTTTTACAGTAACTGCGTAGGGCTTAAAACAGCAATGGCTCTATGGAGATTAATTTTATTCCAGTACACAATTAAAAACTTCTTTTCTAAAGATTGCTTATTAGAAAATATCTTTTCTAAAGATTGCTTATCAGAAAATATCTTTTCTAATGATTGCTTATTAGAAAATATTTTTTTTAAAGATTGCTTATCAGAAAATATCTTTTCTAAAGATTGCTTATCAGAAAATATATTTTCTAAAGATTGCTTATCAGAAAATATCTTTTCTAAAGATTGCTTATCAGAAAATATCTTTTCTAAAGATTGCTTATCAGAAAATATCTTTTCTAAAGATTGCTTATCAGAAAAATATCTTTTCTAAAGATTGCTTATCAGAAAATATCTTTTCTAAGGATTGCTTATCGGAAAATATTTTTTCTAAAGATTGCTTATCAGAAAATATCTTTGGTACAATCCCGTCTACTTCCCTTGACTGTTTTATCATCGATGAAGGCGTTTTTTACATACTAAAGCTTGGAGGGCCCATTAAAAATATATATCTATGTACAGGCAATAATTTAGTATCAAACGAGTGCTCCAGCACTCTACCACCCAACCACTTGTACTTGTAAGAAATCTTTTTAAAAATATTAAATGTTTTTTTTTAAATATAAGGATTTAATTGTTTTTTTATTCTATCATTTTTTTCCGGCAATGACAATCAATAAAATAATTTCCAGTTTCTATTTTGAAAGAGATTTAAACAAAAAAATTCTTTTCAATCTGGCACCAAAGTGGCACCCAGCAAATGCTTCTGCAAAAAAAAAAAAAAAAAAAAAAAATCCTCCTAATATACATGCCAATACATCCGCCATCATACAATTAAAAAAAGAAAACACTAAAAAAATATCATCATTTAATTAATTCTTGTTTATTTTACACCGAATAATTTGAACATAAACTTAGTTTGATTAAGTAATTTTTGTTACGATCAGCTAGTATGTTTTTATCATCTTAGCTGATGAAGAGTTGACCTCACGTTTTACATAAAGGGTTAAAGTGTAGCTTGTAGATTTAGCTACGTGCCATTTTAAGTCAGCAAGTGGGTTGGATATAGGGTTAAAATGTGTATTGACAATTACATGTAATTTTTATCAATTGTAGCTTTAAAGTGCAGATTTAGCTAAAATATTGAAATAGGCGTTTTTTTTGGTCACATAATGGTAACTCAGTGGCGTAGCCAGGATTGGTCATGGGAGTGGTTAAAAAATGTTTCCAAACGTATATAATCATATATATATATATATATATATATATATATATATATATATATATATATATATATATATATATATATATATATATATATAAATATATATATATATATATAGGGGTCGGGGTCCATGGGAGAGGTTATAACCCCCCCCCCCCCCCCCCCCCACCAACCCCCATTGCCTAAACCACTGTAATGGTTTATAGCCAGACCATTTAGCTACTGTTTTTTAGTGTCAGCTAAATGATTAAAATAAAAAAAACTTAAACGATCTAAAGCCAAACCATTTAGCTACTGTTTTTTTTTAGTGTTATCTAAATGATCAAAATATAAAGATTTAACCGATTTCAAGCAAAATCATTTAGCTACTGTTTTTTTTAGTGTCAGCTAAATGATCAAAATATAAAGATTTAACCGATTTAAAGCCAAACCATTTAGCTACTGTTTTTTTAGTGTCAGCTAAATGATCAAAATATAAAGATTTAACCGATTTAAAGCCAAACCATTTAGCTACTGTTTTTTTAGTGTCAGCTAAATGATCAAAATATAAAGATTTAACCGGTTTAAAGCCGAACCATTTAGCTACCTGTTTATTAAATCTCAGCTAAATGTTTCAAATAGAAAAAAAAATTAACAGCAGGAGTTTTTCTGCCCGTCAAGCATAAACGAACAACAAAAACAATAACAACCAAACAGATTAAAGCCGCGCGGAATCAACGACTGCGCTGACGTCACGGGCGGGAAGATCTAGATGTGGTCAGCCATTTTCTTGCTGGGTCCAGAACTGGTCTCGTCTGGCGTCTCGCAGACGCTGACGGCCGTTCTGGAGAAGCCTTGTTCCATGCTGGTTCTGTTCTTGTATCTGTGACTGTGCCGGCAGTCTGTGAAAGGTTATGGAAAAAGTTGAATCTACCAGAATTAATGAGAGAAAAGAAGTTGAAAATTGTATTTTTTTCATTGCACAGCTAAACTTGTTAATAAATTCATGATTTTTTTTTCGATAAAAAATTAACAGTCTTGCCTTAAAGGCATCTTAAAAAAAACAAACAAAAAAAACCCTTACATGATTATAATATTTAATTAAGGTTAAATGCATTTTTGTCTTGATAAGTGAGATGAATTTGAGTTTAAACTGCATAAACGTATTATGCACACAGATAATAAGTGTGTCTTGCAAATTTTATCCAATTTCTTAAAGTAGGCTGCGTTCTTTTGAGCTTTCTATTTTGAATTATTTTCAAAAGCTGATTAAAAAATCTTCTACTGTCATTAGATATTGTTTTTTTAGGCTATCAATATTTATACGTTGGTATTCAAGTTGTTCATGTGTGATGTTATTGCTGCTTTTCTTCATATCAATGTAGAATTAGGTGAAAGTCACTGATTATTCTGACGTCATACCAGCTGGAATGTGTTACGTCATGGAAAGTCTTCTCGATGTAAAAGTAGTTTGAACATGACGTCAACAGGGTCATCATCAGAGCCAATGTACTCGTGGCTGAGTCATGACGTCAGCGATTATTGCTGATGTCATTGAAACTTAATCTCTTTGATCCCAGGGAGGAGGATTAAACATTAAAGGATAGCGGATGAAAAATGAGTACGTTAATTCGAGGAGATCTAACAAGAACTTAATCCAGGACTTGCAGCCATCGGCTTAATGTAAAGTCTGGATATTTTTTCGTGGATCAAGGGATAAGTTTTACTTGTGTAGTTATAATCTCCTACCCTGGGGAGAGATGGGTGGGTGAGGGAAGGGGAGGATGCTATGTATCTGCAATATAGCTACTGGTGTATCTATAAGAAGGGCTCAAGCTCATGTTTGTTATCTTATTGATACATGATTTTTGTTGTTGTTGAAATACAGTTCTTAGCTAGCTCTGTTTTCGTGGATACACATTTCTTAGCTCTAGCTCTGAGCCATTACACTTGTCTTATTCAACGATACCAACTACTGTCTTATTCAACGATACCAACTACTGTCTTATTCAACGATACCACCTAGTGTCTAATTCAACGATACCAACTACTGTCTTATTTAACGATTCCAACTACTGTCTTATTTAACGATTCCAACTACTGTCTTATTCAACGATTCCAACTACTTTCGTATTCAACGATTCCGACTACTGTCTTATTCAACGATTCCAACTACCGTCTTATTAAACGATACCAACTACTGTCTTATTCAACGATACCAACTACTGTCTTATTCAACGATTCCAACTACTGTCTTATTCGACGATTGCAACTACTGTCTCATTCAACGATTACAACTACTGTCTTATTCAACGATTTCAACTACTGTCTTATTCAACGATTACAACTACTGTCTTATTCAACGATTCAAACTTCTGTCTTATTCAACTGTTTCAACTACTGTCTTATTAAGCGATTTCAACTACACTCTTATTCACAAAGGTCTAATTCAACTATTGTACTTGTCTAATTTAACTGTTCAAATGTCTAGTTCAGCTAATATAAATGTTTATATCAACTAATCCAAATATCTAATTCAAGTATCCCAATGTGATGTTCAACTATCCCAGATATCTGATCGAACTATTCCAAATATCTAATTCAACTATTCCAAATATCTAATTCAACTATTCCAAATATCTAATTCAACTATTCCAAATATCTAATTCAAGTATTCCAAATATCTAATTCAACTTTTTCAAATATCCAAATATCTAATTCAACTATTTCAAATATCTAATTAAACTATCCCAAATATCTAATTAAACTATTCCAAATATCTAAGTCAACTATTCCAAATATCTGATTCAACTATCCAAGATATCTGATACAACAATTCCAATGTTTTACTCTTACCCCTGCTTATATCAATGACTTGGCATTAAAAATAAAATCAGCCTTTGGCTTAAACATTAAGTCATTAATACAGATAGGATTCTCTAGACATCAGACACGTTTTTCCTCAAATTCTTGGCTTCCCCTTTATACACCACGTAGATCTAGAACGAAGATAAGGGCACACGCTTTTTAATTGATTATTTCGGCACCTCAAAGATGTAGACCCTCTTCCCCACACCGCCAAAAAAAAAAAAAAAAACACCTCACTCTAAAAAACAGTTAAACCTTCTCTATCTGCCTCTAGAGAAGACAACCCCTGAATATCTGATCTTAAAAGAAAAATCGTTTCTGTGGAATAGTTTTATTTCCCATTCCGAGAAATGATTAGTTTTTTTGAGGTTTGTATAATAAATGTGTCTGGCCCTTAAGGAAAATAAAGTATTTTACGTTGTGCTTCAGTTCTGTTCTAACCCAGGGGTCAAGAACTATAATAGACATCGTGTGTGTGGGGTGGGGGTGAGGGGGGTTGTGGTAGAATACCCCGTAACTCTCTTCAGCTACAAGAATAAAAAAAAAACAACAAAAAAAAAATACGAATTAGTACACATTTGTTCTTTTAGCGAAACGCAAAAGTAGAAATCCCCATGAAAACATGTAGGCCCCTAGCTCTATTTTGATTAAACGAAAAGAAAGGAATTCGAACATTCTGCAAACTAAGGCCTGATTTTGTGGTTGGTGTTTATTAGACGTAAGATTTTGGAGGACGAAAATAGCTGGGAATTTGGTGTTCTGCTGATGACGTAAGCAAAACTGGCTGTCTACGTCAGTTGAGCTGTGTTAGCTTGGCGTGGTAGCCATCCGTGTAATAGTCATTGTTGGGTTAGTGTTTCCAAACTGGGAGGCGCGACTCCCCTGGGGAGATGCGGACTAGCGACAAAGGAGGAGGAATAGAGGTGTGGCTAGAGGAGGCAGGTGGAGGTGGATGACCCGTAGCGCTTGTGGGATGGGGGGGGGGGGGGTGAAGGGGAGGATGCACCAAACGAGGTTAAAAATTCTCTTGTTCGTAGCTGCAGTTTACTGCTACTAGGCTTTATAGATGGATTTGTTTTCTTCACCAAAAGAAAAAGTACCAAGGAACAGAGACAGGTAAAAAGCGCCACGGACTTTTCCATATTGAGAGAGTAGGGAGGAGGGCTTTTTTTTTCGCCATCCAGAATAAATATGTTTAAATGGGGGGTGGGGGGAAGGGGGGGGGGCTGCACAATTAATAGTATATATATATGTATATATATATATATATATATATATATATATATATATATATATATATATATATATATATATATATATATATATATATATATAGTTAGAGATATTAACACACACACAGAGAGAGAGAGAGAGAGAGAGAGAAGAGAGAGAGGGGGGGAGAGAAACAGCTGCTGCTGTTGGAGAACATAGAAAAGTACTGCTGAAGCTACCCTCTCCAGAAAAAAAAATATGAATAAATAAACCAGGACAAAATACTTCTTGGCAAAACATGCCGAAACTAAATGTATCCAAACACAAAAAAACAATGAGAGGTAAAAAAATCCACGAAACAAAATATTACCGGAAAATCTACTTCCGGTCAATATGTTCCCTAGACGAGATATATCATGACAAAAACAACACGTTAACAAGACTACAACTATTAATTCACACCATGTTTACTACTGTGGTCTCTCAACAGTTTATCAGCTTTCGACTAGTGTTTCTTTCAGACTTTTCTAAGGGGGGGGGGTATAGACAAAATTTTCCCGGGGGGGGGGGGGCTTTGATACTGGTAAAAGTATATATTTTCTATTTAAATTTTATTTTGTTCGTTCGTTCGGGGGCGGTGCAATGGCCTTTTTTTCGGAAGGGGGGGGGGGGCAATTGAAATTTTAGGGGGGGGGGGGGGGCGGACACTGGTAAAAGTATATATTTTCTATTTAAATTCTATTTCGTTCGGGTGGGGCCGGAGCGGTGGACTTTTTTCGGAGGGGAGGGGGCGGGGGGTTGGGGGGGGGGGGGGCTCAGTCCCTCCGAAGAGATGCCTGGAAGAAGCTCTGCTGTCGACTGGTGACAGGAGACAGATTTCTTTTAACCACATTACCTGATACACCACACAGACTGAGCGGACCAGTAAACGTATCGTCGCTAGAAAGCTGAAAGATACATTTCAGATTAAATTAAATTATAATCAACTCTGTATTTAGCCACACGCCGAAATCAATATTTTTTTTGTAGCAAATCTCGTTTGACGTGTTTAGCCGAGTGACATTTAGATTAAGGTTAAACAAATATATATATATATATATATATATATATATATATATATATATATATATATATATATATATGAATATATATATATATATATATATATATATATATGAATATATATATATATATATGAATATATATATATATATATATATATATATATATATATATATATATATATATATATATATATATATATATGTTTGTGTGTGCGTATGCGTATGTGTGTGTATGTATGTCGTGTGTGTTTTGCGCTAAAAGTAAATTTCCCAAATGGTCAGCCAATGTTTTAGTTTCATTATATTTACTTTTTATCTTTACATTTTTTATCTCTAAATTAATTATTAACACGTTCTTCTCATCGTTCATATATTTTATTTATGGAGATTAAGGGACGTGAAACTGGCCAGTAGAGTAGATGCTGCTACACGATGCTTTAAATACAACATTAATATTTAGCAAAGTGTGTTTTTTATGGCAGATATAATAAACACGAGCTCGACGCAACAGGGTTCATTAATTTCTCAATCCCCGATGGATGGAGATTATCTATGATATGATCGCTAACGCTCGATTAGGGGACACTATAAATAAATACATAAGTTCATGGGTTAGAGGTTAAAATGATGGTTATTTTCTGAAACTGAGTAGTATTTCTTAAAGGAATCTTTAGGGAAATATTTACACGGCTTTAGAATAGATAAGCGAAGTAATACACGTTAATTTATGAAGGATGCTGTTTGCAAGGTTGGAGCATTGGGCGAAAAAAAACCCACTTCAATAACAGTTGTTTATAGAGAATTTTAGAGACTCGTAAATAAATACGGGAAAAATATTGTTCTTTTTGTACTAGCAAATAGCAAGATTATATATTGAAGACCAAAGTAAGAATGCTAGAAAAATAAAATATTTTTTACTGCATATTTCAGTAGTGAACATCTTAAATAACAGGAATAAAAGGTAAACACTGAAAAGAATTTTAAAGAAAAAAAAATCAAAGTCGAAGTATGCTTTGAACAATAGGAGCGGTTTATGAAACTGAGTTTTTTTTTCAAGCAGCAGTTTAGAAATTTAGTAATTAAAAAAACTACCGCGAAGAACAGAGCTAAAAAACGTGTGACGAATGACTTGGGAATCCAGAGAACAAAGACAGGTAGATCACCTAACTTAATAGCAGGGGACCGATTGTTGTCTAGGCTGGTTTAAGCGATGTGTCAATGATTGCAACCCACCGTATTAAAAAAAAAGAGTAAAATGTTGCGGGACCGGATGGTACTCTTGTGGAGACACTGACCGTTGCCATGGAAACCAGCCGTTTACCATTCCCCCAATAAAATATGCGAGGAAGAACAAACACTACAGGGGAAAAGAGAGAAAATCATTGGACTTCCCCAAGAAATATGATCCCAGTTCTTCCGGCTACATTTTTAGAGAGTAGACACTGCCGTCCATCTCGAGTTATCTTCCATAGAATAAAACTTTCAGGGGGAAGGACTACTAGAGTTATCGTCCGTGGTTTATAAAAAAGTCAATCGTAAAATTTTACTTGATCATTACAAAATTTTCATCACCAAATAAAAATTATAAGTTTATTAAATCTACAACAAGAGTTGTATGTCTGTTTTCGTGTCTTAAAATTCAAGTTCCTCGCAAGAATTTTCCGGCTTTTGTTTTTAATAAATAAATCACTTTTTACCTTTTCTTAAGAAAGTTCTTAAATAATGCAAAACTGGGAGTCTACCATTTTAACAAATACAGTACATGGGTCCAAGTTTATGTTACTTGTGGACATAATTAATTAGTAAATACAATGGGCCCCACATTCTAAATCGTTAAATAGTATTATTTATTATAATTTTCAGCACACATTTTTGTGTAATTTTTGATAGAGTTATTTCTATCCTTAAGTTTTACATAGTTTTTAAGCCTTGTGAAATTTGAGTTATCTACTCAAGAGACAAAGGGCTAAGCAGCCATAAATATTCAGAATGCTAGTTAACCCTTTATGAATCGAGTTACAAACACACCAAGCAGGAAGAGAAAAGTGCAGTTATGGGTTAACACAGTATGGCAAATAATCGTGAGGAATGTGACTTTTTATAAAGAAGAAGGGCTGTGTTTCTGAGACGCACATATTTCAGTAATTGTCTATTTTTGACTTACCCTTACCCTTACCCTAACAACCCAAACAAGAAATGCATATAACAGTTCTTTAACAATAAGATGAGGTTTAGGGTTAAAATTTCGGTAAGGTTTAGTTTTAAAGATTACGTTTACCAATAAATTCATGATAGGGTTTGTTTTAGGATTAACGACTTCTTGTTATCATTGATATAAAGAGGTAGGTATGGGCAATCATTATGTGGCGAAATTGAATACATAAATAACTACATATTTGACATTTAGTGTCCTAAAACTTATGTTAAGAGCTGCGGACATCGCCCGTGTAGTTTCTACTTTTAGATCTGGAGCAATTGATAGCCGTGTCTAGACCGATAGAATTTCGCCATCATTAACATTTCAGTGGAAATAAAAAACTTTTTTCAAGCAGAATTAAAATCACAAACTCATTTCACAATACGTGACTAGGTGTTAAAAACGTTCGCTTAGAGAAACGTGATAATCCAGTTTTAATACGAAACTACGGGATAGAAATACATTTTAAGATAAAAAAATGTATCATGTTTTTTTGTATCAGGTTTTTTAAAAGTGGGTTTTATGGTAGAAGGGAGTAGGTTTTGTTAGAAGTGTGGGGGACATTGATAAAAGTAAGAGACAAAGAGGTAGATAAAGTGGGGGATGGGAGCGTCATTTTGACAACAAATATCATGGATGGATGGCAGAGGCGTAGCGAGGGGGGGGCGGGGGTGCCCGGGTAACACCATTTAGGGGGGGGTGTGACACCAAGGCAAAAAATAGCAAAACTTGAGGGGGGGGGGGTGCAAATCGAAAGTTTGAGGGGGGGGGGTGCAAATCGAAAATTTGAAAGTTTGTCCACGGGAAGGGTCACTACGCCTCTGGGGGATGACACCATTAAGTGCCGCACCGGGTGACACCCGACCTCGCTACGCCACTGATGGATGGTATTTAAAAAGATCAACCTAGTCTGAACACTGGCTTTAAAACTTGAACATATGCATACTTACTATGCGAGTTTAACCCGTAAAGTATGATAATGGAAAGCGGTGGGTATGGACAAATGATACACATTTCATAACGAGTAAAGTTGATCCTGACATTTCTCGTACACTGTAGCCAGTGGCGTAGGCAGGGGGGGGTTAGGGGGGGTCATAACCCCCCCCATAGACCCCTCGGTATATATAAAAAGTATGAGGGGGGGGGGTGCAAATCGAAAGTTTGAGGGGGGGGGGTGCAAATCGAAAGTTTGAGGGGGGGGGGTGCAAATCGAAAGTTTGAGGGGGGGTGCAAATCGAAAGTTTGAGGGGGGGGTGCAAATCGAAAGTTTGAGGGGGGGGGGGGGGTGCAAAACGAAAGTTTGAGGGGGGGGGGGGGGTGCAAATCGAAAGTTTGTCCCCGGGTAAAAAATTGGAACCCCCCCCTTGAGACGATCCTGGCTACGCCACTGACTGTAGCAATATCAAATATCCGCTCCATCACGTAGGAACGGATACATTCTAGACGTCGACGTTTTTTGTTACGTTATTTGATAACAAGTTTCGAGTTTTTTAAATGAATAATCTTATATAAAACACAGGACAAGAAATGGTTCAATTGAATTTATAGCACTAAAGCGAGCCTTATTATGCGAATGTAACAATCGACAAATTACACATTGTGTTTGTCCTGATAATGTTCCAGAACAATTCTTCTATACAATCACTCCCTCCGTGAACAATAGTTGACAACAAAGTTATGAACATACCAACAGGCATAAACTTAAAACTAGCATTTACCTATTTATTTATTAAAATATATGGTACATATTTCTTTACAAATTTTATGGAAGTTTTAAGAAGCAAATGTTTTAATTGTAAATACGCGTAATCACTAGATCTACTTTCAATAAAATAATTATTTGATAATGCTTAGAAAAATATAATTACTTGTTTTTTTAAATTATCACAAATAATTTTAATTTAAAAAAAAGAAAACAGTTGTTTTATATAAAAAACACAAAAAACTAGTATTATAATAAACGTGATTGGTGCTAGATATATGCGCAGAAGTATGCGCAGAGGAGTGCAGAGAAAAGTGGGTTTTTGCTTTATTAAAAACGTTATTGAAAAGTAAACAATTTCATTTCCTAAAACGTCTTATAAAATGTGTTAGATAGTTAAATGAACTATAATAATTATGTACTAATATATGCTAATTACAACAATTACAACAAAAATAAATGTATATAATAAATTATTTTATAAATTCTCATGAAAAACCAAAATTTTTAAATTGAATACTGAAAAAAAAACCAAGTTAAAATCTTTTACTATTTCAAGTCATTAAAATATACCCCCGTTCAATTTTCCTTGAGTATTTTTCTACGAAAATATTTTCACAATGCTTAGAAATCGTTAACTAGTTATAAGATAATTATTCGTAATAATTATTCTTAAAATTTGTGTTTTTATTTGTAGATGAATAAACGTGAAATAATAAAAAAAAAAACCCGGACTAATTGAACAGTCACTTAATCTGTTTAATACGTTACCAATAGTTTAACAATCAAACCTACAACAGTCAAAAGCATATTTGCAAACAATAGTAAGCCGATATTGAATTTTATAAACAGGAAAGTTGTATATAGAAACGGGTTAGTTCAAGTACATAAAGGGAAGTAACAAACAAATTCGGATGGATTTATTTACAGATGGAGACAACAGTTAAGGGGGGGGGGGGGAGGGGGGGGGAAGGGAGAATTTGTTTTCGTCTCAAACTTCTGCACTAATCATAATCATCTTTGCTGCAATTTTCTTCAGGCATACACTCCCAGGGTCATTGTATATCTCTATAATCATGATTAATATTTATAAATTTTGGCATTCTGTACGATACAATAACCACAACGTTAAGAACAAAACATACATACACATACATAAGTTTAGCTGTATATGTATATTTGTTTGTGGGCTATGTATATATATATATATATATATATATATATATATATATATATATATATAGTTTTCAATTCTATTATGAGTAAAGCAGATTGTTTGAGAATGTATGTACATGTTAAACATGAAGCAATTATAGAAGCAAAAGCAAATTAGATTAAATCACTATAAGGGCAATTCAGTTTTAAACAAGCAATTTAGGGTTAAAAACAAAAGCCGATGTAATCAAATGACAATGTGATAAAATGGGGGAGTTAAAGGGTTAAACAACATGTAGGAAAAAAAATGACAAATGTACAAGGAAAAAGTGCTTGGTGGATAAGCTTATCCATTTAGACACAATGGGGTTAAAGGTTAAAGGGAAGGGGTTATCCACTGCGGAGAATGTGAGTACCTCTTTGAAACACTCGCTTCAATTCTTTTCTGAAGGACTGGTTCATGAAAGCGTAGATGACAGGGTTGACGACGTTGTAGATGAAATGTGTGTAGAAGATAATGATGTGGTAGCTAATTAGTCGCGTGGCCATTAGCCACGCGGGCAGGAAGCTAATTATGAAAACGACGGCCACAACGAACAGCATAATGGCTGTTCGGATGTTGGCCAAAAAGTTAAAATCCCGTCTTTCTCGTATGGTTTTTTTCTCCGCTGAGCTGAGCGCGGATGTTTCGACTCCGTTGTCTTCGCCGTCGGTGTTGGCGACGACGAGCATGTCTGTTGGTCTTTTCGACAGAGGTAAGGCAGCTTCTGAAGGCGCTGTTTTCGTGGCGTCGCCGTTTTCGCCGTTTGATAGATTATGGGGTTGGTTTGATTTCGTGGTCAACTCGATCACCTGACCATCACCGTTGTTCCCGTCCGCATCTTGGGCACAGTATTGAGTTTTGGGCGGCGCCTGGTCGGGTTTCGTTCCGGTGGCGGTCATGGGGGAGTGGGACCAGGATTTCTGCTTGCGCCGCCACGCCCGCCGCTTGACGACGGAGCGGTAGATGAAGAAGTACAACGTGAACACGGACAGCAGGGAGATGATGTAGAAGGAGATGTAGATCTTTTGGAACGCGTCCAGGAAGGTGTAGGAGAAGATGTTCGGGTTCTCCTCGCACTTGCCCGTGTACACCAGGCTCGAACAGGCCACCTCTGAGGACCGGTTGCCGTCTCGCTCGTAGAGGGGGACGATGGTGCTCGTTATCTCCGTGACGTAATCGGAACCGGAAGTGTCCAGCTGGGCAGTGTCCGTGCAGTTGGCCCGGTACACGGAGAACAGGCATGACGTAATGGAGCCTGTAGAAGAGGGGGGAAGGGGGGTGTTAAATAACATGTGTTAAATTATGGTTAAGTGAAATTTTAAAATTAAAATAGATTATACAGTTGATGAAATTGAGTGTTACTTTAGTGAAACGCGCAACAAATTTTTTTTCTTTACTAATCATGCACATCTTTTTTTTTCCAAACTATACGCTTTGATACCCTTTGATGGGACAGTGTGGTCAAACGGTAGAGCGTTCAAACCGACACCCACTTCAACAATAGTACGAGTTACACCTGTTAAAGCTATTATGTTTTAAATGCCGCACTCGTTAGTTGTGTGTGTTCAAGTTTAGCTTAGAGGTGTCCGTGTTTCGTGTGTTGAATGTGTTAAGATGAATGTGTTAAAATGAATGTGTTGAAATGAATGTGTTAAAATGAATGTGTTAAAATGAATGCGTTAAAATAGCAGGTTACAGAGAATTTCAACATGTAAGAGTTATGATCGTGTTTTCAGACATGAATAAACAACCCTCATTAAGATTCACGTGCTTAGCCTACATTTAACTGATGTTTGCTTGTGTACAATGCGATATCATCATTTAATCTACGATAATCCGCTGAAATAACATGAACTTAGCTAATTATTGTAATCATAAGCTGCGTGTGATCAAATAAAGCACCGTTATATATTAGACGTATTCATGTATAAAGCCTACGATACAATCAGTGGCGTAGCGAGGTCGGGTGTCACCCGGTGCGGCACTTAATGGTGTCACTAAATGGTGCGGTCACTTAATGGTGACCCTTCCCGGGGACAAACTTTCAAATTTTCGATTTACACCCCCCCCCCCCCTCAACCTTTCGATTTGCACCCCCCTCAAGTTTTTCTCTATATATTTTGCTATTTTTTGCCTTGGTGTCACCCCCCAAAATGGTGTCACCCGGTGCGGTCCGCACCACCCGCCCCCTCCCCTCGCTACGCCCCTGGATACAATCATTACATTTAAAACGAAATTAATATGCATAATAAAAAATTGTTAGATAAAAGTGTTCAAGTTTTCAGATGGTTTCGAAGCTAAACAACCATTCTTTAAAAGTACTCAAATCAGATTAAGTCTTTAAACTTGTATTTCGTTAACAAAATCTCAAGAAAAAAACATTATAAAGAGAACTTAATTTTAATCTTAATCCGAGATTATCTCCGCGAGTAAGGCGATTATGTTCTAATCTTCACTGTTCGTGGCCTGTCCATCGGGCTATTGAGTTACACCATCATTAGTTAAAGACGGTGGTTAAAATCTCCGATAGCACGATAGTCTGGTCTTGCGTGTTAGGTCGTCAGGTTCAGACCTGACGTCAGAGTTTCGAACCCTTTGAAACATATCTTGTTACGGAGTGGTCGAGGTGGTAGAGTCTAGTGTAAAGGGGTAGACCGGAAGTCTCACGATCAGTTAGTTCCGGTTGTTGTCAGACGTCGAGGTAAAGCAAGGTATATATTACATGGTAATGTAAGTTCTGTTGCATGTGTAGGTCAAAGAGATGGATATGCTCAACATGATCTGTATCCTAGGATAGTTGGGTCAAGAATCATCGTTGGGATAATGTCTTACATAAGGTTTTAAAAGACAAGATAGACTCACATGTCTGTTTGCCATTTTTATGAGACATCACCGAGTCTAGTCTGGTCTGTCTTTCTGTATGTCTGGTCTGTCTTTCTGTATGTCTGGTCTGTCTTTCTGTATGTCTGGTCTGTCTTTCTGTATGTCTGGTCTGTCTTTCTGTATGTCTGGTCTGTCTTCCTATATGTCTGGTCTGTCTTTCTGTATGTCTGGTCTGTCTTTCTGTATGTCTGGTCTGTCTTTCTGTATGTCTGGTCTGTCTTCCTATATGTCTGGTCTGTCTTTCTGTATGTCTGGTCTGTCTTGCTGTATGTCGTGGTCTGTTTGTCTTCCCATATGTCGCGGTCTGTCTGTTTTCCTATATTTCTGGTATGTTTTACTATGTCTTGTCTGTCTTCCTCTATGTCTTGTCTGCCTTCCTTTATGTCGTGTCTGTATTCCTGTATGTCTGGTCTGTCTTCCTATATGTCTTGTATGTCTTCCTATATGTCTGGTCTGTCTTTCTGTCTGTCTGGTCTGTCTACTTACATGTCTTGTCTAGTAGGGTGCGAATATCTGTCTAGTATGGCCTATCCTGTCTAGTTCAATCAGACTGATTTTTTCGTTCGTCCGATTTGATCGATCTGATTTGGTCCATTTAGTTTGTCTAGTCTGGTCTGTTTCTTGTTCCTTTATCGCCAGGCATGTCTATAATTGTCTAGTCTGGTCTGTTTCTTGTTCCTTTATCGTCTGGCATGTCTATAATTGTCTAGTCTGGTCTGTTTCTTGTTACGTTGTTGTCTAGCATGTCTATAATTGTCTAGTCTGGTCTGTTGGTCTATTGGTCTTGTAACGTTTATCTGTCTGTGATGGGGTATGCAAGCATAAGACGACTAACGTATGTGTTTAAAATTTAAGTATCTAAGTATTTAAGTTTAACATAATACTGCATTACTATCAGGACGAGATAATTTCTATTATACCTATTTAATAATTTAATATGTGGGAGTCTTGTTTAACAAAATGGCACGATAATGGTCTAGTTTTGAGGTTTTAGACTATTTTTTTGAAGAAGACGTTGATCTTTTAACATGATGCTCATAGCTAAGGTGTTTGAAGTCATGTAAAGTGTATGAAGTCACCAAAGGTGTATGGAGTCGCCTAAGGTGGTATCAAAAGACCTAAGGTGTATGAAGTTATCTAAGGTGTTTGAAGTCACCTAAAGTGTATGAATTCACCTATAAGGTGTATGAAGTCACTAATGGTGGGATGAAGTCCTCTAAGGTGAAGTCACCTAAGGTGTTTGAAGTCACCTAAGGTGTATGCATTCACCTATTAGGTGTATGAAGTCACCTAAAGTGGTATGAAGTCACCTAAGTTGTATAAAGTCCATTAAGGTGAATGAAGTCACTTAAGGTGGTATAAAGTCAACTAAGATGTATGATGTCACCATAGGTGTATAAATTCACCCAAGGTGTATGAAGTCACCTAAGGTGTTTGAAGTCTATAAAACTCAGCAGGATAACGATACAATCAATATGCCCTTAGTTACTCATAATACGCTCGTAATGGACCACTGGTGACTGAGGTTACTGCGAGGGATTATCTAGTGACTTGCTCAGTGTCGTACGAACGACGTTATCGATACTTTAGCCAGGTAATTGGGGATTTAGTGTGTCGTTTTCCTAAGATAAGATTCACTTGGTCGTCTTTATAGCGAGGTTCGGGTTACATGTTCGAGATTTAGAGGCTAATCGATTCTGGTGTGGGTTGTTAAAGTATCGGAGTTACTCTTAGAACAGGTGGAGTAGAGTCGACCTGTTTATTAGACACATTGGTGTATTTTTTTTTTATAGTTTTGCATTATGTTTTGTGAGGTTATGATGAGTTTGGAGATGTTTATACTCTGGGTAGCAGTTTGAATAGGTATTGGAAGAATTAGAAATATCATATATATGTTATCACAAACCTATGGCCACACTAAAGCCACATCTAGCAACCTACATTGTACAATGAGGCGCAAAAACACAACAATCGCACTGTATTGCAAACAACGTCAGATCCGGTTACCACATTGTGCAGTGCGAGGTAATCGAACCACATTGTACACTGTACAGCAAAACCACTTTGCCAAACCACACGGCTACAACACGCCACCACATCACGCCAGGCCAACACACCACACCACGCCACCACATCACGCCAGGCCAACACACCACACCACGCCACCACATCACGCCAGGCCAACACACCACACCACGCCACCACATCACGCCAGGCCAACACACCACACCACGCCACTACACAGCCACACTACACAGTTGCAGTACAAAACAGAGGTTTAACCCACAGCAACACCTTAGAGCCACACCACACAGATACACCCTAGAGCAACACCACACAGATACACCCTAGAGCAACACCACACAGATACACTCTACAGCAACACCTCACAGATACACTCTACAGCAACACCTCACAGATACACCCTACAGCAACACCACACAGATACACCCTACAGCAACACCTCACAGATACACCCTAGAGCAACACCACACAGATACACCCTAGAGCAACACCACACAGATACACTCTACACACCACACAGATACACCCTACAGCAACACCACACAGATACATTCTACAGCAACACCACACAGATACACCCTATAGCCACACCACACAGATACACCCTACAGCAACACCACACAGATACACCCTACAGCCACACAATACATTAAAAAAAACCCCACACCACACCACACCATAATAAATAACTTTATCCCATTCAACCACAACCACGTAAACCAGCCACACCACCACCACCACCACCACCACATACACCATCTTACCTAGCGAGAACGCCAACAGTACCAAGCATGAAATGGCCACCTTTGCTCTCCGGGGTGTCACCACATGTAGAAAAGGGTGGCAGATGCTGAAATACCTGGAACAAAACATACTCGCATGAGTCAACGCTGTTTGATGAACTTAGTTCTACAACACAACATTTGGATCGATGCATGATCAAGCACACTATTTAACATTTTTTTTGTTTTTTTTTGTTTTGTTTTGTTTTTGACTATATAACAGTTGTGTTCTTGTTTTTTAAATACCATCGGAACTTACACTAACATAAATAAAATTCTTCAATACTGCGGAAAGATAAACATTATGGGTTGCAAGGTTTCCATGGTTTTATAGATTTACATATATAGCATAATATATAACTAAAGCATTATATATACAAATAAATCTAAAGTATAAAATGGTGGCTGAAATGGTTAAATATTTTGCATAATGTATTAAAATTACAATTTTCATGTCACATCCCACCCCCCTCCCCCGTCTACTCTCTTTTCTCTAAGGTAGTGGTTCTTAACCTTTTTTGAGGTGCCGAACCTCGTAATTTTCAAATGCGCATTCACCGAACCCTTCTTAATAGTTCTTTGGTCCGCACTGAAATTATCTTATCATAAATGATATGAGTCGGGTGTGTGTCTTGACCGTAGCCGAACCCTGAGGCTGACTCACCCCGGGGTTCGATCGAACCCTGGTTAAGAACCACTGCTCAAAGGGTACATCTAACATGGAAAGCTTCATACATTCTGTGGGGATGTTAGCTTTTATAACCACCTAACCCCTTTTCCCCAACCCTGGTGGTTTAATGATTAAACACATTTGACTCCTAATCGATAATCAAGCCCTGTAACAGCCCTTTGTTTTCCCTGTAAAAATATACATTTACATGTGGTATACAGACAATCTTGGGAATTGTCACCACATATTTAAAGATTGTAAAAATAAACATTTACATGTGGTATACAGACAATACTGGGCCTTGTCATCCTATAAAAAATGTATTTTTCTAAAAATATTTTTTTTCCAAATAAGGCAGTTATGCGGTCTTGCGGTCTTACCCCACCCCCTTCAATCGACGCTAATGTTAAATGTAGTTATTTTTGTTAATAAGAAGTGGAATAAAGTGATTAATGCCCTTTTCCACAAGGAGTACAAAGGACCACGTAAACTAGGTCATCGCTGGTATAATTGTTTTTAAAAATATTCCGTTATTTAAGTAATTAACTAAATAAAAGAGCGAAAACCCGTGAAGGCAAGAATTTAAATTAGATAAATAATTGCTGTCACAGTTTTTCAAGAAAACCCACTAGACCACCAGTTTTGTGCATTTTTAACCACGAACTATTACGAACTCAAAAATCAATAAATTAAATTGCCCAATGTTTTTTTTACTACTCCTGATTGAATTCGTTGCATTTTTTTAAAGCTATGCATTTTCGTTTAAAAAACAACAAACGCAATTATTCTATAAATGGTTGCAGGTTTAAATGTAAAAAAAAAAAGCATTAACTGCTAGTTTCTGTTTAAAATGTGATTTTGGTGTTAGAAATAATACATCACTTAAAGAAATAAATCCATGTTTTATACTATGTATTATTTCATCTTTTAAGAAGCATATTTTAATTTCTTAAAACAAAACGTTAAAATATTCTAGTCATTTTTACATGTTCTACCTTTTCTGTTTTTTCACAAAAACATGTCCCTAATTACATAGGCGCCTACACTTTGTCACAAAAACATGTCCCTAATTACATAGGCGCCCAAACTTTTTCACAAAAACATGTCACCCATTACATAGGCGCTACACTTTGTCACAAAAGCATGTCCCCCATAACGTCGCCATAACTAAAATCGATTTTTTTTAGCTTGAAAGACCAAGCAAAGTTCTATCTTTATTGCCTAAGCAATAAACATCCACTATAACGCAGCTCTTTAATTTAATCAACTAAACATCAATCGAAAGCATATTTTCCTTTATAACAACATTCAAATGTTCAACTCACAAACGGGTCAAAGAAGCCTTTTATAATTCCTTAACGCGCATTAAACATTGAAGCTTTTACAAGGGCGTTAATGCTATCTGTCGTCGGCTGAAAGGACACTGAATAAACAAAGACATATTCTGATAGGCGGTTTAGCGGACTCGTTTTTGCTAACGAAACGTTGAAGCGTTGACGCTTTTTAAAAAAATTCATTTTAAATCTGACCTTATTTAGAAGCTGTTTATGAGACAAAAGTGCGTTGTGTCGGATTTAATGTCTCTTTATTAAGCAGATACAATATCAGATACGCAATAGTGCTGTTACAATTTATACAATCTATATTTACTATTGGTCCATTTTATCGCAAAAAGAACGCAAAAAAATTATTATGTAGTTAAGATAATGACTTTACACAATTGTGATTTTAAACACTTGTTTGTGCTAGATTTAGTTAAAAACAAAGTAACTTGAACCTTAGGATAATATTAAATAGCAAGAGAAATACAATACTCTCTAAAACAAATTGTGTCCCCTCGCACGAAGAAGCCCCTAATAACAGCCTACTCATATTTCAAGTTGTATTTTTAGCAGTAGACTCAAGATTCACCAGCAACTAACGAACTATTTTGGTAGAGAGTAAGCTAAAGGGAAGTAATTTATTTTAAAAGTGAATGTTATTTCTATTACAGTTTTTTACTTCCGTAAATAGAAACCTAACAGGTTTAAAGTGTTGTGGCTATGTTATGCTTGACTAATAGAGCGAGGGTTAGAGAGATAAAGAGACAGAGAGAGAGCTAGTGAAAGAGTGTAGGAGAGAGAGAAAGAGAGGAGAGAGGGGGAGGGAGAGAGAGGAGGGAGTAAGTGAGACGGGGAAAGAGAGAAAGAGAAGTTAAGAGAATAAAGGGAGAGAAAGTTAAGAGGTGACAGATAGAGGAGAAAGAGGAGAGAGGAAGAGACAGAGAGGAAGAGAGATAGATTGCGAACAACTATGTATAAAAACACGAACATCAGTTTCTCGTGGTGTTTTATTCTGTTCTGACCGCGTCTAAACACACCAGACTAAACCCACCTGACTAAACACACCTGATTAAACACACACGTCTAAACTACCTGACCACGTCTAAACACACCTGACCACGTCTAAACTCACCAGACTAAACCCACCAGACTAAACCCACCTGACTAAACCCACCTGACTAAACACACCTGACTAAACACACCAGCAGACCACGTCTAAACACACGAGGCAGTAATGTTATTATCAACAGAATCACGTCTATTGGAGGCTATATTCTTCTAAAATGTAATTTGGTTGTGGCTTTTGTAAAGTGCGGGAATCTATACAAGTCGATGACGTGTTTAGTGGGAACATTGTGAGCAGTCGTCAGTAGTTTGAAACCCGGGAAAATTACCAGACAGTGTATCTCATAGGAACCTAAGTCAGAGGACTGATTGAGGTAGAAACGTCATGGAGTTAAAATCGGCCTTAGAACTTGATTATTTTTTTGGCGTAGTTTATATTTTGTATCAAGGAATAAGAAATTGTGAATAGGTAGCTAAAACATTTTATTGTAAAATTAAATATAAGCAGCTTTCTTCTTTTTATCCTTAATTTTAATATTAAAAGGGGCTTCATTTAACGTAAAAAAAAATCTTTTATTTATTTTAAATTTTAAGTCTCTTGGCAAACATCTAATACTTTGAAATTCACTTTAATTATTAACCAATTGTTAAAAATATCAATATTGTAAATACATTTCTACGTGTCAACAAAAGTAATTCGAAATATGGCCTCTGGATTACAACTTCAGCCAACTTCTTTTCTTCTAGCTGAGAACTTAATACAACGTCTAATTTTTCTGACCTGATACTCATTAGTCATCAATTAGTTGTGTATGAGATCGCGATACTACCTGTTTTAATAAGTGTTCAATACAAAATGGTAACCCCCACTCTAAATACAATAATAAATATTAAATCTCGATAGCAATGAATTTTGCAAACGTGTTTTTTTTAAAAAAATTTTTTTATAGATATTCAATATTTGATGAACAATAAAGCTTTATCAATAAAAATTTTGCAAGAGATTACTATAAATTACAAAATAAACGCATTCTAGATACTAAACTTCAGTGAAAGATAATCTTTTTAAAAATATTAATTTAAGTATTAAACTTTAATGGTGGATAACGATTTTAACATGAAATTAAATATTAAACGTTAACTCCAAATTAATATTTAAAAATCATTTTAAACATTCAATTTAATGAAAAACAACGATTTTAACAGGATTTTAGACATGAAATTTCAGGGATATTTTTTTATACAGAGCAGAAACTAATGGGAAGCAACTCGTTTCATAAATAACAGAGTGTAAGGGAAACAACTCGTCTCATAAAGAATAAAATAAAAGGGTAACAACTCTTCTCATAGAGACCATAATGTAAGGGGAAGCAACTACTGTCATAAAGATCCAAATAAAAGGGAAGCAACTCGCCTCACCTGTCAACAGCGATGGCTACCATCAGAAAGGCCGACAACGGAACATTGCTGGTGTTGATAAAATGAAACGCCTTACAGAAGAAATCGTAGCTGAGCCGGTCCCTGACGTACACCAGCGCCACGGTGTAGGGCATGAGGAACAGGCAGACGAAGAAATCGGTCCAGGCTAAGGCGAGGATGAAGATGGTCGAGGAGACCTTGTCGCTTTTCTTCGAGAAAACATAAAGCACAAGCACGTTGCCGAGGCAACCGAAAAGGCTGAACCCGATCAGCATGGTCATGACCGCGATCCCCTCCCCCTCGGAGTGCGTGTCGTCCGGGGGTTTGTTGTCGGGGAGGATGTCGGAGAGCGGCGACTCCTGGGTGGTGAGGAGCCCATCCCCGGGGACGAGCAGGGACTTGTCGAAGACGTTCTCGTAGCTGCGCTGCTCGGAGGTGTCGTTGGCGGCGCCGTTGACAATGAAGACGAGCTTGTTGACGACGGAGGAGAGGGTGGTGGTGAGCATGTCGGCTGCAGACATGTTGGGTCTGGTGTCTGGTGGGTTGGAAGGTTGGGTTTATCTAGGTCCTAACACACAGCCATGGGTGAACTGAAAAGCGGAACACAATCTTTATTTATCTAGCCCTTCATATTTCAATATATATATATATATATATATATATATATATATATATATATATATATATATATATATATATATATATATATATGTATGTATATATACATATATATATATACATACATACATATATATATATATATATATATATATATATATATATATATATATATATATATATATATATATATATATACACCTATATATATATGATATAGTAAATATCTAGATAATCTAGATAAAACACTTTTATTACAGTTTTAAAAAACAAATTGGCCAGTCTGAAATCAAATACACGCCTTTGTGTGTGGGGTAGAAAAAACATGAGTTCAAAAAACAAGTATTAGAAAAGAATTTTGGCTGGTTACGGCACATCCCCGAAAGGCCCAAACAATGTATCTAGGCAAGGGGTGGAATAGAAGTCAAATGGATAGGAAGGAAATAGGTAGATAAAAAAAATGTCCATTGGTCGGCGTGGTCGAGTCGGTAAAGCTCATGGTTGCTAAACCGAAAAGTCTCGAGTTCGAACCCTCGGGCAGATGAGGCTCGTTAGCTGGGGGAGAGACAACTCAAACAACTGCTGCCTTGTAGTTTGCTCTTGGTTGAACAAAGGCTATGGAAGCAAATCCAAAAAGAAAAGCAGACTGAAATCAGAGTCATAATGGCGCATAACCAGTTGACACGTATACTTAATTGTGTTGGAGGTAGGTTCCCTTCCAACACTAAATTTATGAACGAAGAAGAAGAAGAGGAATATCCTGTAGAAAATGCTTGGAGATACAGATAATAGTAAGGGTTGCCTAGGCGGGAGATGACGACAATAACCACCAATGGGGCTATTAGGCTCGGTTCTCGTGCCCATTGCATGGGGAGTCAATATGGCGAGGGGGATAGAGAAGAAAAAAACAAGAAAAAACAAAGCACATGAAGTATATACTAAAAATATATTTTTTTAAAGTAAATATACTGAGAAAAAAAAATCACCTGAACTCCTGTCACGTGACTAGTACTGCTTCTATCCAGGTGAAGTCCTCGGAATTGTGTATCCCCAGGTAAACTAACTTGGAACCCTCTTCATCTGGAGCTAGTCCAGAGGGAGTGAGCTACTGGGGCATCATCTCGTGAGTCTGCTGAGGGTGCAAGGTGCTAATGTTTCTGGAAGCAAGACTTTCTCGACTTGATGAGACAGGCGTGCAGACTCATTACTGGGGCGTTCTGGTGAGCTAGGAATGGAAGGGCTTCACGTTATGCTGATGTTCTGGACAACTGGTGAGGCGGGGCTTTAAGGGCTTCACGTTTTTCTGGTAAGCTGGGAATGGAAGGGCTTCACGTTTTACTGATGCCTTGGACGACTGGTGAGAATGGAAAAGCTTCACGTTTTACTGCCGTTTGGGGTGACTGCTTGGATGAGATTTGAAAGGTTGTGAATGGTGAAGAACATTGATGAAGGGTTCTGGTAGATGACGCTTGTAGGTTACATAGAATCTGCTGGTCTTGGTCAATGGTACGATGAAAGGGCTGTTCGACCTAGCTGGATTCAGATATTTGGTAAGGTGACAGTGCTACTCTAGGGTCTCGGTACTGTTTCGGTCTTGACTGAAGTTTTATATACACTTAGTCTATGATGGAGTACGGCTTACAAGCCTCCGGTACAGTGAACCTGTCTTACTGGTCTAAGACAGTATACAACCTGTTACATCGGGTACAGTAAACCTGTCTGTTGGGATACAACCTGTTGCGCCCGGGTACAGCGAACCTGTTGTTTAACTTCTCACACCACACCGGGTACTGCGACAACAACCTCTGTAGAAAAACGCTCGGCCTTTACTGACAAGGTGGTCACATCGCAGATCGCTAAAGAAATCTAGAAATAAAAAAAACAAACAAAATGTATAGCCTGGGTTATAAAATACACATGTGCCTATAGTTTTATCATAATAATATCATGCATTTGAATGTTTAGTATTATGTATTGGTGTTAGTCAGTACAGAGCTGCTATGTTAGTACCTTCGCCATTAACACTAATCAACATTTCATAATAGTGCTTACAGGAGGCAAATGCCATGATCATAACAATCAGTATGTTACATTGTGAGATTAAAGGCTTAATCAGTACACCACTTTTACAATTTTTACATAAATATTTTTACAAATAACATATTATATGATAATAGTTACCATAAAATACTTTAAATTTATTTAATTTTATTCGATTTTATGATTTTTTAAAAGTTTCCTTCTTTTGTTCAAATTATGATTTTTTTTGAAAGAAACTGATTGAAATTGGCGAATTTGGTACCCGGGTCTATTAGCCGCCCCCTCTTCAAAAAACACCTCACCCCCACCAAACTGTGGCCAATCACCCTGAGGTATATAAATCCCAGGTAATCCCAAGGATTAGCGGCTGGAAACAGGTGTTTGTAATACAAGATTCTTCGTCTTGTTGCTGGCATATTCTCATAGCTTGTGCCATTTAAATTAATCTTTCAATTAATTGTTAATGACTAATTTAATTCATAATTAGATTAAAATGCAATTTTCTTGCATTGTCATCGGACACGAATCTACGTAGATTCGTGTCCGATGACAATGCAAGAAAATGAAAAAAAATCCCTGCATTTCAAATATATTAAAACAACGGAGTTATAGCCCCTGATTACAAGCACACCAACGGGCATTGTGACTTTGTAAAAGCTCGCAGAATACACTCCACCAACGGCAAACATTTGTCCGGGTCAGTTATTTTCATTTATTTCTATAACACCACGGTCGGTCATAAATTAGCCGTCACCCAGCTGATTAAGTCATATAAATGTCAGCAAATGCCCGATGCAATATTTATGCCCGTGACATTTGTGACCTAGGACATGCTATAGTCCCTGGGTCTGATACTTGTCTATTAGGGTGGTGGGGGGCAGGGGGTTAGATTCTGAATATAGAAGCTGGTGCCATTAAGTGTTGTTTCGTGATGGAAGTGGGTGGGGTGAAAGGGATGGAGTTAGATAAAAGGTCAAGGATCTTTCATATGACGTAGGAGACATAGCTTTTTACTTGCTGACGAAAAAAAAACAAAAAAAAAAAACATTTGCTAATGCTACACATATAATGTTTGATAGTGCTTCAAAAGGGGAGGTATGCAGTGCCGGCGCCAGGTTAGTTAGCGCCCTAGGCAAAACTTATTAAAACTCCCACTTTCACACAAATTAATTACTAAAACATATGTACAAGATATTATAAGAAAACAATCAATTAAAAGTGACATATTAATTTATTATCAATTGCATACACGTTATAAGTAGACATCAAAGTCAAATTTTACTTGCCTCCGCCGTCTCTATTCCAGTTTGCAAGCTTAATCATATTTTATTGAAATTGTTGCTAAGTGCTTCCCCCCCCCCCCTTCACGGGAGAATAAAGTCTGGAAAAAAGCCCACTGAATCAAATAAAAATGTTCTTGTTATGTTGGGCTCTCTGCAGTCCTCCCAAAGTGAGTTCCAAAACGGAACTTACCTGTTTTAAGCTTGACTGTCTTTAGTTATAATTGTAAAATGTCTATATTGTGTGCTTATGTAACGATTTTTTGGTTTATGAAGATAAAAGGTTATAAATAATATAGATTCCAGCCTAAAATTGTTATATATGAATCCTTTAAGAGATGGTAAAAATATGAAAAGACAATTAATTAGATGTTTAATTTACGACTTTTGCAATCTATAACGGCTACTGATATATTTGTTTATCAAGTTGATGATGCTAAAATAACCTACTAAACATTTTTGTTTAGAACTTAAGCTCTATATAATTTTTACAATGGCAAATAATAACTTAAAGTTGTATTTATATGTAAGCGGTCAACCTAAGGTGCAGGAATTTGAAATTAATTTCAAGTTGAACAAACGAATTATCTCCCATGTGAAAATCCAAATACCAAAATTTCCTTCAAGGGAAACAATAACTTTCACAAGAATAACTAAATTAACCAAGTGTAACTAAGACATTCTTAAAATTCACAATAAAACGCTCTAAATTTCATTACGTAATAATTATATTAAAATGTTTTATATTAGCTATGAAACGTTGTAAAAACAGTATATTTTACCTATTTAATACATAACTGTAGGTTTTGTTTGAAAGTTTAAAAGCAGTAGCGTTATTATAACATGTTTTCATTCAACTAAGAAGACAAAATCATATTTAATGATAAATCCTAGTATTATAGGTTTATAAAATTTTAGATCCCTTACATTAAGGGGCTTTTTTTTTTTTTTTTTTATTATTTTTTTTTTTTAAATACTTTTATTTGCAATTTAAAACAAGTACATCAACATCAAATTCTTACATAATTTCGAACATCAAATGAAAACGAAATAGTAATACAATATATTACAATATATTACAATAGTAATATTTCTTTCTTACTTGTAGCCTGCTTTCATTCATTTAAGATGGTTTACATATACATAGATGTAATACAAAACGTCTAAATATAAAGAAAAATTAAAAATTAAAAACCAACCTGAAACTGAAAATGCAAATGTGTAATTAAAATTAAATGATGATTCAAGGGATTTTTTTTTTCTCGGCGTGGTGGGCTGAGGGGACGAGGGGGGGGGGGGGGGGGGGAATTTGTTTTTTTTTTAAAGTAGAGCTGAAATGAATTTGGGATTACAGATCATTAAAATGATACAAATTTTAAGTAATCGGAAAAGTTATGTTATTACAATGAGACACGTAAAAGCAAACACTCTTCCCTTTCAAACATCTATATCTATACAGTCCTCAATTAGTTTTTTTTCCTTTTTATTATTTTTTTGTTTTATTAATTCAATTGTTTTAAACATTTAAATCAGTAATAATAATTTATTTTATAGATTTTACACAGCATCAAAGACATGAACATCAATTGCATATATAATAATCAAATGGAGAAAATAAAATGGCATAAGAACTAGACTAAAATAAGGTGTGCAAACTAGGTTTCTCTTGACTGCTTAGTTTACTGTGCTTTGTCCTTAGCTGAGGAGTCAAAAGTTCACATTGTAGCCGCCCATGGACAGAAATAGAAACGACCTTGGGAGAAGTGTCTCTGCAGTACACATACTGATCCATCATTCCAAAACTTTCCATGACATAAAATTGACCCTTGGCAAAGAGGTCACGCTACCTTGAAAAATCCGCCAGTCCGGTTTGTGGGGGGAAGTGTGTGTGTGTGTGTGTGGGGGGGGGGGGGGGTGAGGTGTGTATCTCTTTCTACCATTCAGGTTGTGCACTTTTAAAAACCTGGGAAACAGAAGACTGTTCTAATGTTAATTTACTTGAGGGCTGATCGAGTGATGTTTAGCTTCAGACTGTCGATATTAATTATGCATCTAGTGTATTTGCTTCTTCTGTAGTTCAAATGTTAGTTTCCTGTAAAAGTAGGATGTCAATATTGTGTTTATTTATTATGTTGTTTATATAATGTGCTTGTCCCTAGCCCCCCTGATGTTCAATGTTGCCAGAGTTAGCATGAATTATTTGGGGTTTTCTTTCGAACATCTGTTTCTGGAGGGCTGGATGGTGGTGGTCTTTTAACGCTAAACTTTCCAGCCGCTGGTTTGCTATCCCGTTGGGCCCTGGTCACGACCCTTTGAGGTGGCTTTACTGTAGGTAATTGATTTTTACTTGAACTGATTGCTTGACTATATGACAGTTGACCCGATACCTTTGTTGCTGATATACTTTGTGAGCTTTTAATTTTCTTTAGCGGTTTCGTTATGTTTTCTGAACTAGTGTTATCTTGAAGAATATCATTTATTGTTTCGTCGACAGCCTCCAAAGTTTCTTGATTCCCATCTTTTTGAGACCCTGTTACTACTTTATACACCAGGACATATTTCTAATTCAAAGTCATAGAAAACGAGACTTATAAGCCCTATTAAAATTAAATAACCGTTTGAAATGTTTGAAATTTAAATAACGAACTTATTCAATCGTTTTCTACATCAATTTTGTGTGACACCAAATTAAAAAAAATAATAAAAAAACGTTTTAATAACAAGCTTTTATGTAATAATGCACTAAAAAGTAGAAAATAAATTATACACTACTATTTAAATAACTATAAAGAAAAGCGTGGGTCTCTTCCTAAATATTAGACACTACTATTTAAATTACTATAAAGAAAAGCGTGGGTCTCTTCCTAAATATTAGTAAGGGTATCCAAATTGGGTACCCTTACTAATATTTAGGAAGAGACCCTCGCTTTTCTTTATAGTTTTTTAAATAGTAGTGTATAATTTATTTTCTACTTTTTAGTGCATTATTACATAAAAGCTTGTTATTAAAACGTTTTTTTATTATTTTTTTTTCCAGTACTTTACATGTTTTATTTACAATAGTTACATGACTAAAAACCATTGTCAAGTTTATAGCTAAAGTTTAGTCAAATATTATGGGATGGCGTAGTCTAGTGGTAAAGAAATAGACTGCTGACCCGACTTCGCGCGCCGATTGAACGTGATGACGCGCTTTTGACGTAGAGCCCTCCCTCGCTGAGCACCCAACACGGCCGTCATGACGCGTGTGGATAGAACTGCCAACTAATTCGGTCCAAATTTTAATTAATTCATAAAAATTAATTAGGCGACTAATTAAGTCAAATTGAATGTCACGATGCATTGTCTTCATGTCTTGACCCACGTTCCAATTATGAACCGTATCTGTTAGTTAGAAGTGTACGAATTTTCGCTCCGGCGTTCCGATCTAGACAGACAGACTACGACAACCAGACAGAGAAAGTGAGTGTAATAAAAGCTTGTAGTGAAAAGGCAAAGTGACTGGTAAAAAGCGCCCCGACTTTTCCAAAATACGGATTCGGGATTTCATTTTCACCATCGCGAATAAATATAGGCCTATATAGACCTAATTTTGTGGTGGGGGTGCAAAATTGATAGTCCCTCATGGGTTCTACCAATAGATCGCTACTCCTTTATACAAGTTTTTAATCATTAGTTACTTTTTAATGACAGCGATTAAACATTTTGCGCCCCCTTAGGGATGGCGCCCTAGGGGCGACCGCCTAGTTCGCCTTATAGGTAGCGCCGCCTCTGGAGGTACTCTAGAGCTGGACAGGGGAACTTTGATAGTGCTACACAAGATGAGGTTTATTTTTTATTTCTTTTGTATAGACAAGCCATGTTTATACAGTTTGTAAATGAAAAAAAGATCTGCAGATCTGCGAGCATTCAGCCTTAAAGCTGTAGTATTGAGAAGTCAGCCGAACGTATTCAATTGAACAGCCGCAGAATGAGCTTAACTTATTCAACCCATAAGCCCGAGTATTCAGGAAAAGCAATAAACATTTGCCATGCAAAAGCCGTATTTAGCCAAGCAATAAATACGCGAGTTATTACATCAAGGTTTAACTGCCATTGTATAGAGTTATTACATGGGTTTTTTTTTTTTTTCGCGTGTGGTAATTATTATTGCGATGTAATTGTTGATTTGTTTTTGTAACTTGGGGAAGGGTGAGTGGACTGAATGTGTGTTTTATGAGCTCATTATTCTGAGATTTAATATCAATTTTCAATACTGGGGTGGAGGGGTGCGTATGGGGGGTTGAGGGGCGGGATCCAGTGACGTCATTCAGCGGCTGCCAGATTTTGTCAAATTTTTTTTACGCGGCAGGAGATTTCTAATTAAAAACTGGCTAATCTTGTCTGCAATAATTATTGGCAGTTTGAGTTTTTAAAGTGCGGTTTTATTTATTTATTTAATTTAACGCCTGCAAATCTAGAAATGAGAAACGTGTATACAGATGCCTGGTAACGATTCCACATCGAGTAAACAGAGCTCACTGTACAAAACGCTGCTCCAAATGAGGGAGGGGTGGTCAAGTCTCCCTACCCTTGTCCAAATATGGGAGGGGTGGTCAAGTTTCCCTACCCTGTAGAAATGTGGGAGGGGTGGTCAAGACTCCCTACCCTTGTCCAAATGTGGGAGGGGTGGTCAAGTCTCCCTACCCTTGTCCAAATGTGGGAGGGGTGGTCAAGACTCCCTACCCTTGTCCAAATGTGGGAGGGGTGGTCAAGTCTCCCTACCCTTGTCCAAATGTGGGAGGGGTGGTCAAGACTCCCTAAACCTGTAGAAATGAGGGAGGTGTAACCATAAGACTCCACATCCTGGTCCAAATAAAGTAGGGGTTGTCGCCACAACAATCTTTACCCCCACCATCCCCGCCCTTTAAAATCAAACTTTTGCAGAGAACGCCTACAGCAGAAAAACTAAACAAACAGAACAGTTTGTCAGAGTTTCAACCCACAGACCCTGTCGCACAACATTATACCGCCCACTTTACTTCCGCCCACTTTACGTCCGCCCACTTTACTTCCGCCCACCTTACTTCCGCCCACTTTACTTTCGACCACGTTATTTCCGCCCACTTTACTTCCACCCACTTTACTTCCGCCCACTTTACTTTCGCCCACGTTACTTCCGCCCACTTTACTTCCGCCCACTTTACTTCCGCCCACGTTACTTCCGCCCACTTTACTTCCGCCCACTTTACTTCCGCCCACTTTACTTCCGCCCACTTTACTTCCGCCCACTTTACTTCCGCCCACTTTACTTCCGCCCACGTTACTTCCGCCCACTTTACTTCCGCCCACTTTACTTCCGCCCACTTTACTTCCGCCCACTTTACTTCCGCCCACTTTACTTCCGCCCACTTTATTTCCGCCCACTTTACTTCCGCCCACTTTACTTCCGCCCACTTTACTTCCGCCCACTTTACTTCCGCCCACCTTACTTCCGCCCACTTTACTACCGCCCACCTTACTTCCGCCCACTTTACTTCCGCCCACTTTACTTCCGCCCACTTTACTTCCGCCCACTTTACTTCCGCCCACTTTACTTCCGCCCACTTTACTTCCGCCCACTTTACTTCCGCCCACTTTACTTCCGCCCACTTTACTTCCGCCCACTTTACTTCCGCCCACTTTACTTCCGCCCACGTTACTTCCGCCCACTTTACTTCCGCCCACTTTACTTCCGCCCACTTTACTTCCGCCCACTTTACTTCCGCCCACTTTACTTCCGCCCACTTTACTTCCGCCCACTTTACTTCCGCCCACTTTACTTCCGCCCACCTTACTTCCGCCCACTTTACTACCGCCCACCTTACTTCCGCCCACTTTACTTCCGCCCACTTTACTTCCGCCCACTTTATTTCCGCCCACCTTACTTCCGCCCACTTTATTTCCGCCCACCTTACTTTCGCCCACCTTAAATTTTCTCACGGCGTAATTTTGTTTTCATGAATTTTGTCAAATTAATTTTTGCAGATTTTATTCGCAACTGTAAATTAGGTTATATATATATATATATAGATCGAGGTAACTGTCATCGTGTTTATAATTGTAAGTTTTAATATTTTGTTCCATGTGATTGTTTTGTAATTAGTATTTTTTTTTCTCTTTTTCTTTTTTCCCGCTTCAGACATGTAATTTACAGCGTCAGTTGTGTGTTCGCTTTAGTATTACAGTTTTCATCATCGGCTTGTGAGGACTGATACAGATTTACAATAGTAATTTTTCTTTCTTACTTGTAGCCTACTTTCATTAATTTAAGATGGTTACTTATACATAGATCTAATACAAAACGTCTAAATATAAAAAGAAATTAAAAAAAAAAAAAAAAGAAAAAACAACCTGAAAATGCAAATGTGTAATAAAATGATGATTCAAGGGATTTTTTTTGTTGTTGCCGCGGCGTGGTGGGTGAGGGGGGGGGGGGGGGGGGGTGGAATTTGGGTTTTTAAGTAGAGCTGAAATAAATTTGGGATTACAGGGAATTTAAATGATACAAATTTTAAGCAATCGGAAAAGTTATGTTATTACAATGAGACACATCAAAGCAAACACTCTTCCCTTTCAAACATATATATCTATACAGTCCTCAGTTTTTTTTTTTTTTTTAAATTAATTCAATTGTTTTAAACATTTAAATCAGTAATAATAATTTATTTGATAGTTTTAAATAGCATCAAGGACATGAACATCAATATCATATATAATAATCAAAGGGAGAAAATAAAATGGCATAAGAACTAGACTAAAATAAGGTGTGCAAACTCGGTTTCTCAAGACTGCTTAGGTCAGTTTTTTTTTTTTTTACTGCTTAGTTTACTGTGCTTTGTAATTAGCAAAGCGAAAAATTAATCTGTCACTTTATGCTACGAGTAATGAATTTCAAAACGCTGTCTTCATATTTGTGGGTTGATAAAAGGTATATTGAATAAGGTAACAGAAAGTAAAAATAATTACAAATATTTAATATACGTCACTGTAGTTAAAATTTACAAGCAACTAGGCATATTATGTGAATTAGTAAAATAAAAATTATTTTAAAAATTCTAATTATAAATGACACCAGGGTTAAAAAAAAAACTGACACGTTTTCTGTTTATAAATAAGAGAGTGGCCTCCCTTGAATGTGCGGCCCACATGATTTAAATGATAGACCACCCGTGATTTAAATGGTGTGGCACCCATTTTTTTTACTTTCTCGTATATACGAAGTATAGAGAAAGTCTTGTAATCGTGCAAAAAAAAAAATCGAGATTTTTGCAAATCTCGACGTTTTACACCTCACTGATACGGAAAAACATAATTTTGCAATCTTGTCCGTATGTCTGTGTGTCTGTCTGTCTGTGTGTGTGTCTGTGTGTAAACACGATAACTTGAGTACCGTTACAGCTAGGTTGATGAAATTTCATATATAAGTATTTTATCAAAAATCGTAGATCCGTATCAACTTTTTAACGATTTTCGATAACTGGAAGTGGTACTTTTTCTACTTTGAATTTTTCAAAAGCCTATAACTTGAGTACTATTTCAGATAGATAAATGAAATTTCACATGTAAGTAATAGATCTAATTCTCTACCTTCTTTCAAATTTTGAGTAATTGTCGTTTACCGGAAGTACTAATTTACGCTATTTCCGATTTCTCAAAAAACGCAAGTAAATTTATAAAGTACTAATAATATTGCGCACTATTATGCACATTTTGTTTCGGCGTTTGTTTGGTGCGCAATGTTTTTTTCTATGAGATTCTATTCTATTTTTAAAAGTTTAAGTAATTAAAAATCATGTCTACATTCCAAGTTGTATAAGAATATTCGAGAAAGTTTAGGGGAGATCACTCCCGGTTTTTTTTATTCTTCGTTCTTAATTATAATTTTGGATGCAGTCTCTTCCTACACAATTAGGCATTACGTGTCAACATGTTCTGTTCCATACGCCCGTGGACTCCGATTTCAAACCTGCTTTTAATTCTAGATGTGCTTCCATAGCCTTTCTCCACCCAAGACAAAACAGACATTTGGACATTATGAATTAAATGAATTAAAAACATGGAAGAAATATTTAAAACAACAACAACACACGGGCAAATGAGTTATAATAACAACACATATTCAAACTAGCAATTGAGTGAGTGACCTACCTTACAACAACAGCATCAAAAACAACAAATACAACACCAACACCAACACAATCAACATCAACACCGACACCACCACCACCACCAACACCAACACTACAACAACAACACCAACACCACCAACACCAACACCAAAACCAAAATCAACACCAACACTACCACCACCACCAACAACAATATTAACAACATCACCAACACCAACACCAACACCAAAACCAACACGCTGACGCTGGTTAAAGTATATATGTATATATATATATATATATATATATATATATATATATATATATATATATATATATATATATATATATATATATATATATATATATGTGTGTGTGTGTGTGTGTGTATGTATATATATATATATTTATATATATATATAATATATAATATATATATATATATATATATATATATATATATATATATATATATATATATATATATATATATGTGTGTGTGTGTGTGTGTGTGTGTAAGGAGGGGGGGGGGGGCGGTGGGTTCTTCTGGCAATCAATACGTTGACCAGGATGAAATTGTTGTTTGTTTCTTACTTCATCTGAGTAGCTTTACTCTTCAACAATAGTAAAACTAAAGCTTACACGCTGTTTGTTTTTTTTCATTCAGTAATTTAAAACTTATGTCATGCCATTTGTAAACGCACAAAACAAAACTTTTTTAGGCTTTACTTCTGATTACTTTTTCACATCCAACCACAATCTTGACATTGATTTGTCATAACAACTTTAATAGATTAACTTTGTCTGGCATTAATTGTCTGCTTTAATTGATACCAGAAATTCTTATTATCCTCTGGTAAAAAAATTTTTTATGTACAGTTTCACGACCGCATGACCTAGTTAAGAGCATACTGTGTTTGTTGAAAATAACTTTAACAGGACAACAACAAAAATAAAACAAATTGCTGCGGCTTTTTTTTTCTTGAAAAAAAAATGTGTTTAGTTACTAAAATTAATAATCGCCCAATATGCAAGAATTTAAGCAAATTTCATAACAAATTATATATGACCTTTTTAATGATGAGTAAGTTTTTAATAGTTCTACATGTGTTTTAAATTGTCCTCAATGAGAGCCCATTTTGCTAGATGTTATCAGAAATTGAAAAAAAGGTACTTATATATTTGTTCACTTTTAATAACATAACTGAGTGATGATCTGCCATTGTTAAAAAGCTGATGGGGGGTGGGGGGTTGAGGGGGGGTGTCCAGCTTGTCGCTACAAGACTTTCTACCCTGCTCAAAATAACAGAGGGGTGGTCGCTACAAGACTTTCTACCCTGCTCAAAATAACAGAAGGGTGGTCGTTACAAGACTTTCTACCCTGCTCAAAATGACATAGGGGTGGTCACTACAAGACTTTCTACCCTGCTCAAAATGACAGAGGGGTGGTCGCTACAAGACTTTCTACCCTGCTCAAAATGACAGAGGGGTGGTCGCTACAAGACTTTCTACCCTGCTCAAAACGACAGAGGGGTGGTCGCTACAAGACTTTCTACCCTGCTCAAAATGATACAAGGGTGGTCGACAAGAAACCCTCTACCCTGGTCCAAATGGTTAGTCCACCAGATCTAGTCACCCCAAATTCTGCTCACACTTAACATTACTGTTGGTGGAACTGTACTCGTTTAGGGACATGTGATAAGTACAGGTGTAGAAACGTTAGGTAGGAGGGCGGGGGGGGGGGGGGGGAAATGACCGTAGTGACGTAATGGTGAAGGACGTAGGCCACTCCTCGCCGCAACACCGGTCAAGCGGAACGCTGGGAGAAATGGAGTTAATCCTATAGCGCTGTAAAGTGGAAGGAGGAATGGGATCGGATAAACCGGCAGGAGCAGTGGAGCCGGAAAAAAAAACCTTATGGGAGCCCCTAGGCAATCGGAATATCCGGGCACATTTTTTTAGAGTTATCCCAAAATTCGGTTATAATAATTTTTTTTTTTTTTTTTTTTTTTTTTTTTTTTTTTTTGTAAAAATGTTTAAAGGTAAAGGGATGGATAGGGCGGATGTAATTTGGATTTTAAAAAAAAAATGATACATCGAAATGGTGTGATGTTTGAAGAAGGTAAAAAACACTGACATATAGGAGTTGTAGAATACTGTGGTTAAAAAGAGAAAAAGTTTAAAGAGGAAATAGAACAGGTTAGATTAGTAAGAGTAAATACAGGATACGGTGTAAATAGGTAACATACATACACAATATTATATAAATAGGTGGCATACACCATAGTATATAAATGGGTAACATACACACACCATATTATATAAATATGTGACATACACCATAGTACATAAATAGGTAACATACATACACCATACAATATACATAGATCGAAGAATATAAATAGAATAAAAATACAAATTAAAGACAGTCTAAATATACCACATAACATACATATACCACATATTGTAAAGAGATCACACAACATATAACAATATAAATCGCCATTACCATCAATAGACCTAATAATGTGAATAAATCTCACAGTGGACTACACCATAAATAGACCAAACGATATAAATAGATCACATCAGAAAACAGACCACGAAGTTAAATAGCCATTACAGCAAATAGAACCTATCCATCAATTAATCGAAAAAGTAATTGTAGTTTTAAAAAAAAACCACCACCCGCGTCAGCGTCGACAAAAGTGTAACATGCGTCCTCATAATTACACGCTTAATAAATAATGAGCTTTTAATCACGTGATTCGTGACGCCACGCCGCACATATCAGCGCATCGGTGCAGCGACGAACAG